AGTGCTCCACAGGCATGCAAGAAAACAGTGGGGATTCCTTGAAGAACTTGAGTCCCAAAACACGTAGGTATCTAAATAAATAATATCAAGAGCCCACGGTGGTGAGCTGAGGATACAGAAAGGGGGCAGCAAGAGAGAGATCTGCAAACAAAAGAACAGATCTATGTCAGGAAAGAACAGATATATCAGGAGCATGTGGGCGCTCAAGGAGAGTCGCTTTAGTATTTCTGTTTCTGTTTCTAAGTCATCTGTCCATTCCTCTGATCCTGAGACCAAAGCAGGATCAGGTGTAACATCCAGGCACCTAAAGGTAGCTAGAGTGGTCCCAGCTGGGATAAGTGCTGGGGAACAGCTGTGACCCTGCCTTCTTCTGCCCACACCCTCCAGACTACCAAGGAACAAGGAAGTCAGGCCCAAAATAAGGATAGAGTTTGGCCCACAAACTAAGCGATGCTTCCAGATCAAGTTTGAAGCCTGCTTTCCAACCCACCCCTTTACCATCTTCTTCCCAAAGTGCGTATGCATCTAGTTCTCAGTAATTCCTTTCTCCTGACGTCTACCAAGATTATTGACAGGAATGCAGCCCAGGACCACTGCAGCCTCATGATTCAGCTGGCAGGCAGCTGCTCTGTAACACAGGGACATAAGAAATCTGTAGCAAAGGGACTTCTTGCTTTTTTGATGCAAGAAACAATGCAGCCTCTACTGGGCTCTTCGACATACAGGTGTTTTTCAAAGGCTGATAATTTTTCGGAGGATGCACTGTATCATATATGAGCTAAGAGCCTGGTACCATATTTACTTGAATGTAAGATGAGAGGTTTTTTTCTCCCTATCAATATGGGGGGGGTGGGGGGAGTCCCTCATCTTACATTCATATACAAGAAGACCTCACTATCATTAAACTGCTACTAAAAGCAGTGCATGCTCAGCCGTGAAAGCCAACTATAAAGTTAAGTTGATTAAATATAGCCAACACTGAACATGACTATAAAACATATGGGGCAAACATACTGATGGGAACCTCTTTATTTATTTAGTTTTCTGGCCCTTAGAAAAAGAAAAAAAATTGATAGGTGTTCCCTCTACAGGGAACTGCACCAGGCTTGGAGTTACTCCAATACCAGGCCAGCACAGGAGGTTCAGAGCCCTGAAATCCTTCCCCTAGTGTCAAAAATACTCAATTTTAGCCAAAAGACCAAGATACTGATAGGAGCCTATCACAAGGACAACTCAGTACATCCCATCTGAAAAAAAAATAATGATAGTGCCCAATGAGTGCAGCCCCTCTGGCACTGACTTCCAAGTCATGGTGAACCACCACACTCAATACATTTCAACCTCTTCTTCACTCCCACAGCTGAGTTGCACCTTTCTTTTCTATTCCCAATGAGTTCTGTTTTTTAATCAGCTTTAAATGTCTGGCAAATATCAGCAAACAGGGCCCCAAATAGGTAACTCAGAATCCCTTTGTTGCCTCCTCCTTCAGCCTGTTACATATGATTAGTATAGCCCTGCCCTGCATGAGATGGGGATGGACCAGGTTGCTCTGTGCCGCATTTGCTTGCTAAGAGGTGCTGTGGCTTAGCTGGTTAAAGCACCTGCCTAGTAAGCAGGAAATCCTGGGTTCGAATCCCAGCAGCACCTTGAGGATTAGTTTTGGCCTGTAACCAGGGAGCCAATGAACAGGGACTGCAAACAAAGGAAACAGTTTGTGGGTAGCAGCATAGCCTATTACTGTACAATGGTGGGGATGCGTGGTACACCTTGGCTTCAACTGGTGCTCCCTTCCCTTCCATTGCTGAGGCCTCCACCCAGATGGAGGCCCTGGCTCCAGGCTGTACGGGCTGTCTGGCACAGCTGCCAAAAACCAGGACTGGGAGCAAGGTCACCCCTACCTGTGGTGTATTCTCCTTAGAGAGGTCCCTGGAGTCCCAAGTGACTGAGCTCCAGTCCCAGATGGGCAGACTTCCTGCCATCAGGGACCACAAACAGGAAATTGATGACTACTACAGTCAGGTTCTCCTCCTAAAGAAGAAAAAGCATGGATGCCCAACTAAATGAAGATGGACAACAGTAAGATCAACTGGGAGCCACACTTGGGGGATGCTTGGAAGATGGTCATCGAGGGTCCCAAGACATGCAGTGTTAGGGTCACTCTTCTCTTGGAAGACAGCAACAGGTACGCAACTCTCACGCCACCAGCAAAGGCATTAGCAGAAGTACCAGCTCTGGATGAGGGGAGGCACCTAGCTGCCACCCCTAAGAAGAGATGCAGGAGGTCATGGTGGGCAGCTCCCTCCTGAAAGGGACAGAGGGAGATATCTGCCACCCTGACCTGCTGGCCCATGAGGTCTGCTGTCTCCCAGGGGCCCATATCTGGGACGTGGCAGAAAGGATTCCTAAACTTGTCCATCCTTCCAACCAATACCCCATGTTTCTCATCCATGTGGGCACAAATGACATGGCTCAGAGCAATCCTGGCCCGGTCATGAGTGACTACAGGGCTCTGGGGGCTGGGCTCAGAGGGTTGGGGGAACAGGTAGTTTCCTCCTTGATCCTTCCAGTTATAGATCACAGGCACAGGAGGGAGAGATGTACTGAAGAGAGGGAAAGATGTATTGAAGAAGTCAACAGAAGACTGTGGCATTGGTGCCATTGTGAAGGCTTCAGCTGCTTCGATCATAGCCCACACTTCAGAGACAGAGACAGCCTTGGGATGTTGGGATGGGATGGCCTCCACCTCCTTCCTATGGGAAAGAAACTCCTCTTGGCCAAAATGGCTGACCTGCTTGAGAGGTCAAGATCACTGGGAGACAGGCGGACAATCACTAGTGCAAGCCCTGGAAGTGACAACCACAGCATCAGCAGGTCAGGTAACACAAGGGAATGTACTCCTACCCTAGCCCAAGCATGGGACTCTTCTAAGAGGACAGGGAAGCCCAGGGCTTCCAGTGGCAGGCTTAGCTGCCTGTACACAAATGCCAGGAGCATGGGGAACAAACAGGAGGAACTGGCTAAACAAAAAGGAATATGATCTCATAGGGATAACAGAGACCTGGTGGATCTATGATTGGACCACAGATATAGGTGGCTATACTTTGTACAGGAGGGATTGTGTTGCACAGAAGGGCAGGGGTGTATCTCTATATGTGAAGGAGCAATACACTTCCCTACAAGCAGAGATTGGCACCCAAGGAGGGCTACTCAAGACCCTCTGGATTACAATATGGAAAGAACGTGGTGAGGGGGATATAACTGTAGGAGTCTATTACAGATGCCCTAACCAGGAGGAAGGGCTTGACCACAAATTTGTAAAGGAACTGGCAAAGGCTGCATGTTCTTGGTGCATGGTCATCATGGGCGACTTCAACCACCCCGACATCTCATGGGAAGAGCATTCAGCCAATTATGATTGGTCACGAAGCTTCCTCACTTGCATTGATGAGCTCTATGAGCATTCAGCCAATTATGATTGGTCACGAAGCTTCCTCACTTGCATTGATGAGCTCTGTTTGACTCAAGAAGTCTACAGGCCGACAAGAGGTAAGGCACTGCTGAATCTGGTACTGGCCAAAGGGGATGATCTAGTCAGTGACCTGAGGATCGAAGGGAAGCTTTGTGACAGTGATCACGAGGTGATCACTTTCTCTATCCATCACAAAGCTGGCAAATCAGTCAGCAGTGCAGAAATCCTTGACTTTAGGAAAGCTGACTTTCACAAGCTCAGGTTGTTGAGGCCCTGAGAGACCGTGATCTGACAGGGAAGGGAGTCCACAATGAGTGGTTGCTTCTTAAGGACATGATCCTCAAAGCACAAGGGAAGTCCATTCTGGCTCATAGGAAAGGTAGCAAAAGGGCTAGGAGACCCCCTTGGCTCAATAGGGAACTAATGGACCTCCTGAATCTAAAAAGAGAAGTTTATAAGGGATGGAAGTTGGGAACTACCACCGAGGAGGATTATGCAGCAGTGGCCTGCACCTGTAGGGAGTGGACCAGAAAAAACAAGGCTGAAACCGAACTCAAACTGGCTACGGGAATCAAGGACAATAAAAACTCCTTCAAATATGGGGGAAGTCAGAAAAAAAAAGGGCAACGTCAGACCTTCGTTGAACTAAATGGGGCAGCTGACAACCAACACTCAGGAGAAAGCTAATCTCCTCAATGATTACTTTGCATCAGTTTTCCCCCAGCCCAAGGGGATCACATTGCCTGACAAGACACAGGACTACCAGGGTAAGGACAATCATACACCTATAATTGGCAAAGATCTTGTGAGGGAACAGCTTGAGAGGCTGGTCATCCACAAGTCAGCTGGCCTGGACAGAATGCACCCAAGAGTGCTAAAAGAGTTTCCTGACATTGTAGCATGACCAATGGTGAAGATATTTGAAAACTCATGGTGCTCAGGAGAGGTTTCTGAAGATTGGAAGAGTGCCAATGTGATGCCTATCTTCAAGAAAGGAAGGAAGGAAGATCCAGGGAACTACAGGCCAATCTCAATCCCTGGAAAGATCTTGGAAAAAATCATCAAAGAAACCATCAACAACAGGCAATGTTTTGAGATAGCAAACATGGCTTCAATGCGGGTAGGTCTTGCCTGACCAACATCATTTCCTTCTACGACCAGGTGATGCGTCACCTGGACAAAGAAGAGGTTGATGTCATATATTTAGATTTCAAAAAAGCCTTTGACTTGGTCCCCCATGATGTCCTCATGGTGAAATTGGGGAACCATGGCCTCAACAATTTTACAGTCCAATGGCTGGGGAACTGGCTCCACGGCTGGACCCAGAGAGATATTCGGTGGAACTGAGTCAACATGGCACATGGTGACCAGTAGCATCCTCCAGGGCTCAGTACTTGGACCAGTACTCTTTAATATATTCATAAATGATCTGGATTCAGGTGTCAGAAGCGTACTGGCTAAGTTCACAGAGAACACCAAATTATGCGTGGTCACGCTAGAGGATAAGTCGGGGATTCAGGACAACCTGGACAGGATCTCAAGGTGGGCGGATCAAAACCTGATGACATTCAACACAGAGAAATGCAAGGTGTTCGACCTCGGGGAAAAAAACGTACATTGTACTTATGGTTTCGGCGGTGCTACACTTGCTAGCATCATGACTGAAAGAGACTTGGGGGTCATGATTGATCACAGGATGAACGTGAGCCACCTATGTGATGCCGCAGCCGAAAAGCAAATAAAACTCTGGTTTGCATCTACCGATGCATGTCAAACAAGACCCAAGAAGTCATCCTCCTGCTTTACTCGGCCTTGGTGAGGCCACATCTGGTTTACTGCATCCAGTTCTGGGCTCCACACTTTAGAAAGGATGAGGAGAAGCTCGAGGAGAGCCACACACATGATTAGAAGTCAAGAGAGCAGGCTTTATGAGGAGAGGCTGAGGGGCATGGGACTCTTCAGCCTGGAGAAGCGAAAGCTCGGGGGTGACTTTGTGGCAGCCTATAAGTACATCAGGGGGTGCATCAGGAACTGGGAGAACATCTGTTCGCCAGGGCACCCCAAGGGAAGACAAGGTCTAATGGTCACAAACTGCTGGAAGACCATTTTAGAGTGGACATAAGGAAAAACTTCTTTACAGTCCTAGTCTCCAGAGTCTGGAAGAGACTTCCCCCAGAAGTGGTGCCAGCATCTACTCTGGATACCTTTAAGAAACGCTTGGATGCTTACCTTGCTGGGGTGATTTGACTTCCCCCTTGGGCAGGGGGTTGAACCTGATGACGAGGTCCCTTCCAGCTCTAATGTCTATGAAAGCTATGAAACTGCATATACATTTTTGGAGGATCACAGGACTCATGAAAATAACCGGCTCCAGTCCTTGTGGGGGTGGGGAGGGCTAATTAGCACATGGGTCTTTTGTGGGAGGCAGTTTGCATATTCACACATACTGAGCAGTGCTAAGCTGTGGGGTCCCCATGGCTTGAAATGCTGTTGACTTTGCTGGGGCCCAGCCCCATGAACTCCATGGTAAACCATGAGCCTTTTAGCTTTGGACTAATATTATCCATAGTTTCTACTATATACAAGTAGGTGCAGAAGTGCTACTTAAAAGTGCATTTGCAGAGTATCTGTGATAAAACTTGAAGCAGTTTCAAAAGAGGCAAAGTGCATCAGTTCTGAATAAGCTAAGTCTATCGGTACCGCTAGTAATTTCCCTATATGCAAATGATTACAGGTATGTTTATTGCAAGGTCAGTGTTTTCAGATTTGCTTCTCATTTCCATGTGCTCAGAGACAGCAGGGTCTGACAGTAAGAAAGGGGGGAAGGGACTGCAAGGGGCTGCAGGGGTGCAGCAGAAGGCCAAGGGAATACCTGACCCCCCTGATTTATTTTCCCTGATGCAGCAGTGAGAAGGGGGCAAATTTGGGGCAGCCCTCCAACAATTAGATTCTATACCTGGAAAATTATAATACTTTTATACACTTTTCTAGCTACTGTGGGGTTGTCTTTTAATCCGTGCCTCGTTATATTCGAGTAAATATGGTAAATCTATCAGTGAATCCCAGTTTTGTGGCCTTGCAATAGTCCTGCAGATTAAACACAGGATCTAAATAGATGGTTATGTTTCTCCCTTGTGCTCAGTGCATTACATTCATGTGTGCTTATGTTCGAAATAAG